CGCACACAGGGCAGCCCCCACAGCAGAGCATTACCCTGCCCAGAGGTCAACAGTGCCCAGCTCTAAACAGTGATCGAAAAGTCAGAACATTTATGGGGAATTCATTATGTGACGGGTCATTTCCATGCACTCTGTCATTTAATTGTTCCAGCAGCCCTAGGAGAGGGCATGGTTATTATACCCACTTTATGGATGAGAAAACTGGGGTGCAGAGCAGTTACATAACTTGCCCAAGTCCCCACATTTAGAATAGGACGGAGCAGGAATGAATTCCCGGTGCCTCTACCTCCCAGTACAGAGCATGCTCCAAACCTGCCTATGGCCAGGGCTCACAATCATAACCGAATAAACAATAATTTGCCCAGATATGTACTTCTCCTCCCATAAATATAAGCATATGCTGTTATGAACAAAATCTGAAAAGCATTCATATATTTATATTATCTTTCTGTCTATGCATTTTCCTCAAGCAAGAGACTCTAAAGGTCTAACACAGTGGTTCTCAACCTTGGCTGCACATTAGAATTACCTGGGAATCTTTTTTTAAAAATATACTTTATTGATTTTTTTACAGAGAGGAAGGAAGAGGGATAGAGAGTTAGAAACATCGATGAGAGAGAAACATCGATCAGCTGCCTCCTGCACACTCCCTACTGGGTATATGCCCGCAACCAAGGTACATGCCCTTGACTAGAATCGAACCTGGGACCCTTGAGTCCGCAGGCAGATGCTCTATCCATTGAGCCTAACTGGTTAGGGCCTTAATTTTTTTTTAAATATGTTTTATTGGGAATCTTTTAAAAATCCTGATTTCTGGGCCTAATCCTCCGGAAATTCTGTTTCTTTGTTACTAATGTTGTGGCCCCACCCCATAACAAAGAAACAGAATTTCCAGAGGATGAGGCCCAGAAATCAGAATTTTTAAAAGATTCCCAATAAAACATATTTAAAAAAAAATTAAGGCCCGAGAACCACTGGTCTAACAGCAGGTCCAGAAAAACCTTTGTCTCCAAAAAAAAGGAGGCGGGGGGGGGGGGGGGCGCCTCATCATCTAAAAGGTAGGGAATCTCCGCTCCAGGTGTGAGTTACATTCAACTCCTGCAGCATCTTTTCTGCGTCTAAATTCACGTTGGCTTCGTTATGTTACCTGCTGAAAAGGTTAATTGTAAAAGTCTGTTTTGAGAGTTTCCTCCAAACACAGGAGGAAAACCCCCTCACCAGCCATGTCTAAGGAGTCTGTGGCTGGTTTTGGGGTCCCTTCACCTCAGGTTCTTTTGGTGAAGGAAGTTGGGGCAAATGAACCCCCTGAGTCCCTTCAATTGGCTGCAGGTACTTGTCAAGGCTGCTCCAGCAGCATGATTCCTGAAGGATCTCAGATCCAAACGCCCCGAATGCCTCCTTTCTCTCGTCCCCGCAAAAGCCCAGCTGCTGGGTGAACGGTGAGGGCAGGTCACACGAAACAGAGCTCCCCCCGCCCCCTGAGCTCCCAGGAGGTCCCCCTGCAAGGCTGCCCCGACCCGGCCCAGGGGGCTGCTCCACGCCCTTCCCCGGAAGCCCACTTACCCCTTCCCTCTTGACCATGCCCTCCTCCTCCATCCTCGCTCCGGGAAGACGTGCCGCTCACTTGCTTTCAGCCAGAAGAGCGAAGGCACTGCTTGGAGAGAGAAGACACCAGGCTGCACTTTGGCCAGTCAAGTCCCGGCCAATCGGCCAATCGCGTTTTTATAGCCTAAGGCCGAGTAAGCCTTTCAGGAAGCCAGGGCTGCCTCCTCTCACTTCTCCTATTAAATGCCTGGGGTTTAGCTCAGCAAGTGGGCACATGGGCGCACCCACCCACCCGGGGGTGCGGGCCCAGCGCCTTCCCGGTGGGCACACAGTCTGCGGTCCCCACTGCATGAGCCTCGCCAACCAGGCTCGTGGTGAGTGACGGGGAGGGTTATTTCTGTCACAAACACATGGGAAGAAAGCAAGAGCTGCCAGCACCCTCAGCACTGGGGTCAAGGGAGCCAGAGTGGCTCCAGGAAGTGGTCCCTGCCAGGCAGCCGAGCCCTGCCCCCCCCCCCCCCCCCCCCCCCCCCCC